TATAAGTAAATCATGGGGTGAAAAGTACAGCATAGGGAACACAACCACATTGTAACAGCTCAGTGTGGTGACAGATGGTGACCACACTCAACTACGGTGAGCATTTTGTAATGTATACAGTTGTCCAATCTCTATGTCGTACACCTGAAACTAATATTGTATATCAGCTATATACTTCATTAAAAAAAATACTCTGCACCTACTGTCTCTCTAATAGTATAAATTGTTGTGTTTTCCTGGTCTGTATTTTTGTGTTTTGTTTTCAACACACAAACAGTATACTGAAACATTTTTCTAGAATATGTAAAGATAAGGCAGGAGGACGTTGTTCCCCCAAATTAGAGTTAGTAATGGGTGATTGTGTTAAAGTTTCGAGTACCAAGTCTTTGATTTTTTTTTTTTTTTTTTTTTTTTTTTTTTTTTTTTTTTTTTTTTTTTTTTTTTTTGTCATTAAAGGCAACAGAGAGAGAAGAGAGAGAGCTATCTGGGGGCACCAGGCTTATTTAATCTAAAAGAACAACCATTAAAAACACATGAAGGATTTTTTTTTCCCCTTTCAGTATTGTTATTACAGTTCAAAGAATTTTGCTGTTTTACATTCAACCTCAGTTCAGGTTGAAGAAGGACAATTTGTTCCTCTTCCAATATTTTTGAAGGTTTTCGAAATGGATTTAAAATATTTTGACTTTTAAATTTTGCAGTTTTTTCAGACGTTAAAAGTAAATTCAGGCTCAGCACTCACAGTCCCAATGCCAAAGGGAGATTAAAATAATAACAACTCATACAGATGCCCACACTACCTACAAATGTGTACTTTGGGAAGTCAGGCTTTAAATACAATCTGAACATAAGTACAGATGGTACCCTTTGCAAAAGTCACTATAGTTTCCATCTGAAATTATCCAAGTTAGGTAGGAACTGTCCCACTGGCAAGTGGGTCTGTAGGAAGTCATGGATATGGTTTCCTGATGAATATCTTGCTGCCTAATTCAGAAGCTCTGAACACCAAAGATAAAAGTCATCTCATTTCCACTTGCTCTTAAGAAACTGAAAATAATTTTTAAAAGTATACAGTAGAAAGCTGACCTGACCCTGGAC